TGGATGGGGACATTTTCCATAAACCAGGTTGCTCCAAGTCTTTCCCGACCTGGATTCCATCCCTGAGCTGTCAGAGGTGAGTTTGTTATCCCCGATCCTGCTGTGGGAGCTTCCCTGCTCCCGGCTGTCCATGTCAAATGCAGCACCTGGAAATACCTGGAGAGGTAAAAACCCATCCTGTGGGAATTTGGGGTTTTTTCCTCCTTTGGGAGATTCCTGATCCGTGGAATTAAGGTTGGTGGTGTTCCAGATTTGCTCTGCTGTTCCATTCATGGTCGTCCTGGTGGTGGGTGGCTTTGGCAGCGTTCCTTATCCAAATGCTTCCCTCAGGGATGGGCTCTGAGGGAATTTTTGTCCTCCAGCACTGGGAATTCTGGAGAAAACGCCAACAGAAAGGCAGGAGGTGGCTCGGGGAATGTTGGTTCACATTTGTTTGGAAACCCTCTGGAACAAACTTGGCTTCGCATGCAGCCCCTGTTGAAATCCGATTTAATTTATGGAGGGAGGAGGAATATTGGGTGAGAGGCCAGAATTTTGGGAATGCTGTCTGGTGGGAATCTGGTTATTATTTGCTTGGCGAGGATTAATAGGATTCACAGAACAGTTTCTACTTGGTTCAAATTAAATAATTCCTCAAAAAAAACCTCAAACCCCGGGAATTGTGCTGGAAAATCCTCCTGTCCTGCACCTGTGTTTGGTCATTCCCTGTAAGGTTCATTCCTTGAGCTGTGATCTCAGTGTGAACCTCTGCTCTGTGGAAGAACTTCCAGCTGGAGTCGACTTCCACAAGCTTGGAAAACAAAACCCGGTGACGGCATCGGAGAGACGAGAACCTCGGTGCCGCAGGAACTCAGCGCGGAGCTCCGGGAACGGCCGGGAAAACTCCTGGGAAAGCTGCAGGAAGAGTTCATTTCCAGGAGACAAGAGATGGACAAGGGGGAAATGAGGAATTCCCGGGTTTGGAGTTTTCCTGGTTTTGGGCTGGGACAGGGTTGGGAGTTTTTGTTTGGGGTTGGGAACGGAGCTGGGGGATGTGCTGATGTTGTGGCTGTTGCTTTGTCCTCGCCCCAAATCCAGAATTCCTGATAAATCCAGAATTCCCTGGAGCTGCACAGGGACTTTGCTGCTCTTTGATGTTTCGCTGATCTCGGTCTTGGGGCTCTCTGGGATAACGGGAGGTGTGGGAATGGGAATGGCAGGAGGTGGAATGGGATGGGCTCGAAGGTCCCTTCCAGCCCAAAGCCTTGTGTGATTCTCTCTCCAGAACTCTGTGGTGTTTTCATTTTCCTCTCCCTCTATTTGTGCCTTCTTTCCTCACCCCACAGCACCGAATTCTCAGTGATTTCACCCAAACCAAGCCCCACTTCCATTGACCACGGTGCTTTTTGTGTGGAGATTTTTTTGTTGTTGTCGTTCCTGTACGCTTTTACTCCTCTCTGTTTCTTTCAAACCCTTTCTATTTAAGCTCTTGGAGAGATGGGATGTTTTCTACCCGCAGAATTGCAGCCTCGTCCCACCCTGTGGATTCTTGCAGGGTTTGCTCTTCACCCACGGGAGCGTCCTGCTGGAAAGCGCTCCGGCCTCGGCTCAGCTCCGCCGGCTGGAGCCGGTTGGAGTTCTCCACCTCAGCGCTTCCACTTCCAGCTCATCCCTCGTCACCTCCCGACAGGGCGGGTTCACGCTTTGCCTCACCGCTCCTAAAATTATTAATTGTAATTAAACCCAAACGCTGTTGTCGCAAAGAAGCGAAATGCCAGGTTTTAAGCGATGCTGTTGCAAGTGTCACCACCGGTTGTTGTGTTCCCTGTGTGACATCCAATTTGTTGGGTTAAGCTTGTTAATCAGCTGTTTAATTGATTAATCACCTGTTCTCTATATTTAAGATTTTAATCAGTGAAAGAAAATGATATTTTTGTGAATTTTGAGTGCTTTAAACTGTGCGGTGCAAATCCCGCTCCCGTGCCTCGGGTTGCTTTTTCTCCCCGTCCTAGAAGCCGCTGTGAGCAGATGCCAAAGATGACCCATCTAATCCTTGTCTTTTAACTTGCAGCTTTGTGTTGTTCTTGGAAAGTTTCGCACCACTTGTGAATTCCCTGAACCTTGGCCTTGCCGGCCCCCTTGTGTTGGGCCCTCCTCCTTTTCAGCTTGCCCAAATTCAGACCCACTTGGCTCTCCAGCGCTCGG